CCACAAAATATTTGGACACTTAAATCATACTTTATGTAACAGCAGTACAGCACATTGCATTATATAACAACACATCAAATTCATTAACTATCTAAATTACTGATAATATGTCTGTTATTCCATCTTCCCTAGTTGTTTTTTTAAATGATGTTATCTTATTTTGTTGTCCAAATACTTCTATGCAGTATTATTTATATACTATTATAATATTTATTAACATTTTAAATTAGCTTCTATTTTTATATTTTCAGTTCACATTTGAATTTTATTTGATTTTTAGTAATGTGCTTTTGTCCTTTTTACTAGTTTTTTTTTATAATACCACTTAAAGAGACATTAGAAATGCTGCCTTGGCGAAAAATAAAATTGTTTTGTTTTTTTAATTTACGTTTTTATAATATTTATATTTATTTCTCCTTTATTTTAATTAACAAAAAAATATTTTAGTTTTTTACTGTTCAGTCATCTGAATCCTAACAAATTTCTTTTAAAGGCGTTTGTGTTGTCTTTCTAAATAAATGTAACTGATTTTTTTCTATTTAATGCAATGGAATTCATACATTAATTGTGGCTTAAATGTCTATAAACACATGATCAGGCCATTGTATAAATTCATTCTTCATGTATTTTAGTGCTGTCAAACGATTCATCGCGATTAATCGTATCCAAAATAAAAGTTTTTGTTTACATAATATATGTGTGAGTACTGTGTATATTTATCATGTACATAAATACACACACAGTATATATTTTGAACATGTATTTACATGTATGTATTTATATTCATATAATTTATATCATAAATATTTTATATAAACAACATTTTTCTTAAATATATACATGCATGTGTGTGTATTTATATATACATATATATACACACACACATATATAATATGAAAACGAAATCGTTTGACAGCATTAATGTATTTGTGCATTTAGCTGAAAATAATACACAATGAAGACTGAAAGAGAGAAAATTACATCAAAATGCAGTAGCTGACAAGCCTGTTATGAAAGAAAGCCTAGGGCAAACTCCTCTGGTCTGGGAAGATTCCTAGAGGAGGTGTGTGTGTGTGTGTGTGCATGTATGTGTGCGTGTATACACCTCTCTACATAGGCAAACCCAAACACAATCTTTAAAAAAAAATCCACACACCTTCTGTAATATACCCTATATAAGGCATCATTTGCTAAAAGTCAACAAAAAGATTAGGAGAGGGTGTGCCTCAGATGTGCTGTGCTAAGCCTCTAAAACACAATGCACAGTGCACATGATCGTTTGAAACACCCATGCCATTTAACTTAATCATCACATCGTCTAACCACTTGCGGAGACTGTAACTGCTTGGCAGGAGCATCGGTTGTTGGTTTGTTGGCGTCCCTTAGCTGTGCCTCAAGACTTCTGATGCGAGCCTGAGCTTGAACAAGTTTTTCACGCAACTGCTTCACAGCATGATGCACCCTACCTGCGGATGCCTAAAAAGAGAGATAAAAATGAACTAAAACGTTTGAAAAACAGGGTGAAACATCTAAAACAGACTGACAGTCATCACCTCTCTTTGCAATGGCATAAAGTCATCTTTTAGTTCGGTCAGGATGTCATCGTTTTCTTCTTCAAACTCATCCTCTGTCCCGTTGTCACCCTCTCCAAAATTCAGGACCCTTACTAACCCCGCTTTCAGACCCACCTCATCCTTCCCATTCTGCACGTCCCCACTGTGCAACACAGGAATGCGACTTCCAGCAGGTGACCTCACTGGCTTTCCTTCAATTCTCCTTAACTCTTTGAAAACGGTGTCTATAATGGCCGAATGATCTTCTGGCCAATCAAACGGATCGTTGCCGTCTAAAGAGTCCAGCGACTGAACGGATGAAGTGCGGGATCGAGATCGCAAAGAATGACAGGAACCAGACAGCGAGGCGGGGCTGGATCTGACAGACGGCACTTTCGACCAATGGAGAGGCATGCTGGAGGATTTTTCTCGAGAGAGCCCCAATGACGTGAAGGCTTGATCGGGTAAGTGACGTGGAATCCCACAAACAGACTCGTAGTCCGAGTCGGACACCCTCAAGGAGTCGCAACACTCACACATCTTGCCTTTCTGACACCGTTTCCCTGTTCTCCTATAATACGGACACGACTCAGCTTTCTCAGACCACCATTCATACTCCGAGAGGGCCATGTTGTCCCTCAGCATTTCTCGGTATCCTTCCCCTACGGAATCCTTCCGCTCCCCTTCATCCTCACTGGAACGTCCGTTTCTCCTGGAGGTAGATGGGTGGCGCTGATCGTACATGCTTCGCATCCATTGCCTGATCTTGTCCCGTTCCTGAGTGAGTTTCTGGAGTCTCTCGCTCGACAGCACTCGGACTCGGGTAATGACGGTGTCAAACTTGAAAACTCGTTCCAGAACGGACACACACTTGCCGCATACAAACTCCCCCTGACCGCTCCCACGTAGTACAGGCTGCTCTAATATATGTGTCAGCACACAGAGCAGGTCGATTCCTTTTGTGGGGGTGAGCAGACCACGAGACTTCGAGAGCGAACGGGAAGAGCTGAGTGATAAAGTGCTGCCTAGAAAAAAAAGAAAAACAATCATATACATAATTATAATCGAACATGCAATATTAAAACATACACAGCACTTTAATAGCTTCAGTAATTAAAATTATGCAGAAATGTGCATTTTTTTAATCTCCGTTTTTCTTTTTTTTAAATGTATACAGTAATAGCAAATATAATGTAATTAGACATGTTCTCTGCAGGTCATACCCCATGGGCTGCTCTGTGCCGATCTGGGCAAGCTTCCCTTGCTAGAAAAGTCTGTCGGCGTCTGAGGTTGTGTCCCTTTTCTGTTCTGACCTGCATACAGCCATCGCCGCTGGTTACCTTGCAGGTCATTCCCACAGATCCGGCATCCTTCACTTTTACTTCGAGTAGTCATTATAAACAGGTGCAGCAGGTGCCCTATAATAACAATAGTACAATATGTATAAATAATTCAATAACAATAATAAAAACAATCTCTAAAAAAACCTCAAAATATTCTTCGAAAATTGTCATTGAAAAAAAATTATATAGCATGATACTGGCATCTGAGGAGCTTCTAGAACTAATATATATATATATACACACACACACACAAATATATACACAGTTTACACACCTGTGTAAATCTATCAGTAGTTCACTGTTGTCCTTTGGCTGGGGTGGATCCAGTGAACGACAGCTCACTCTCCCCTACTGACAGTCTCAATGTTTACACGGGATGGACACATCGGCCTTGAGCTCTAAACACATGTATAAAACAAAATTGATGTGTTTATTGAAGACTTTAATTGGTTCAGCCAAAAATCTAATTCATGTAATTATTTACTCACAATGTTTAATGTTGTTCTAACCCTGTATAACTTGCTGTTTTACCTGGAACACACAAGGAAATGTCAAACAACGTCAAGTAAGTGACTGACAGCCAGTCACCATTTACTTTCTTTGCTATTTTTTTCAATACAATAAAAGTGAATGGTGACTGAAGCTGTCAGTCTGCCTAACATCTCTTCTGTTCCTTACAAGCCATACAAGTCTGGAACAACATCAGGTGAATAAATGGTGACAGAATTTTCTTTTTTTGGTGGACTATTCTTTTCAATCAGATCTATGAAAAACTAGCACGGGCTCTTTTATTTTAACGCACAGCTTAAAAACTCAAAATAAATTATGTAAATAAGTGACGCTTTGGCAAAAAACTTTCCATACTATGACTAATCACAGCAACTCTCCGTTTTGCTCTCCGTGTGCTCATTCAAAAATGATTTTAAACCACTACCACAGCGCTTAAAACGCGATAAACTGCCGCTGATATAATTAAACCCACGCGGAACTGACTTTTGACTCCCGGAATGTCAGATTGACCCTGCAGAGTACAAAACACGATACGATAGACCAAACAACTCTTTAACACGGCCGTCAACTGACCTGATAAGTTACGAGAAACGAAAATATCCCATTACAATCACAAACGGACAGATAAAGTCGCTTACCGAAACTCAGGAAGCGTCTTCAGGTCTCGAGCAGAAGCTCTCGCGCGTCCAAACCGGAGTGGCAGCCGCCGCGCGCCACTCTACCTTGCTGACGTCATCATAAATACCTGTTTCAGCACGCAGCTGCGTGGCGCACTCCTGCTGTTCGCACAGTCATGCGCATGCGGTAATATATGTTATAAATGATTATAAACACTAGTATTTCCACCAGCTAAGAAAATGGCTTTAAGTCCGTTATTTCTATGTTTTGCTGTAGTGTGTCAGCAGGAAATATCAGTTTACATGTCCAAACATTCGATTTTGCCATTAATAGTAATAATTCAGTAAGATTTTTGTTTGCACAACAGCCAGTGCTCCACACAGAGATCTGATCTGATCATCATCCAGTCTGTCTGGAATGAAATGAAGAAACAGAACAAACTGAGACAGACTAAATCCAGAAGAACTGTGGCAACGTCTCCAAGATGCTTCAAGAGACCTACATGCAAAGCTACCTGAAAACTGTGCAAGTACTCCTCGGGCAAAAGCTGCTTTAAATGCAAAGGATGGTCACACCAAATGTTGATTTAATTTTATGACATTTATCTATTTATTACTTTTTTTTTTTTTTTTTACAGCATCCTCATTTTACAGCATTTCTACACAAGTGCCTAAAACTTTTAACAGTACTGTAGCTTTGCAGGCAGGTCTCTTGAAGCATCTTGGAGATGTTGCCACAGTTCTTCTGGATTTAGTATGTCTCAGTTTGTTCTGTTTCTTCATTTCATTCCAGACAGACTGGATGATGATCAGATCAGATCTCTGTGGCCACTGTATGTATGTGTGTATATATATATATATATATACACACACATACATACGTACATAAAGTGGCCACAGAGATCTGATCTCATCATCATCCAGTATATAGCCCAACTTGGAGAAATAGCCTAGCCCTTGACAAACACATTTTTGCAATGATCATTTCATTTTTTATAACAATTTAATAATTTATTTTAGAATTTAATTTATTAAAACTGAACATTAGACTTGCATTATCTGTGGTGGCAGGACAGAATAACTTTCTTACAATATTCAAACTGATTTGACATATTAAAATGGCTAGAAAACTATATATTAGAAAACCAATCATAATAATTGATCACATTATGTTAGCAAAAAATAAAAATTAAAAAATGAATAAGTGTACAATCATAATCTACATGATACATGATTACATTGAGGATTGTGCATATGCATGTAACAAGATCAGTTTCCTTTTTTCCATCTCCTTAGATTACGTGAGCCACTTGTCTATGCAGTTCTTGTAGACTGTGTGGTTTGAATGCCAGGATGTATGGTGTACACCACGGACGACACACTTGACCACGGCTCCTTCTGAGTTCAGTGTTTTCAAGCCAAAAGCATCTCTTAGATACCACTGGGGAAAGTGGAAAAATGGTTAGGACAACTAAACTGCACCACTAAAGCATTAAAGGAATAGTTCGCCCAAAAATGAAAATCTGCTGAAAACCCACCCTCAGGCCGTCCAAGATGTAGATGAGTTTGTTTCTTCATAAGAACAGATTTGGAGAAATTTATTACATCACTTGCTCACTAACCGATCCTCTGCAGTGAATGGGTGCCGTCAGAATGAGAGTCCAAACAGCTGATAAAAACATCACAATAATCTACATGACTCTTATAATCCTCAAGACTTTTTCGCTGGGAAATGGTGCTTGATCTGTGCATATTTCTCTCCTGATTAAGACAAGACGACTTTTTCACTGGAGAAAGCATATTATAGATCAGGGGTGCCCAAACTCGGTCCTGGAGGGCCGGTGTCCTGCAGAGTTTAGCTCCAACTTGCCTCAACACACCTGCCGGGAAGTTTCTAGCATGCCTAGTAAGAGCTTGATTAGCTGGTTCAGGCGTGTTTGATTAGGGTTGGAGCTAAACTCTGCAGGACACTGGCCCTCCAGGACCGAGTTTGGGCATTCCTGTTATAGATTATTATAGATAGATGTCTTTATCCAGATGCAATGATTTAAAGTTAAAAACATCTTAATGATGGATTTTTTTCTCACAAGATAGTAATTGATAGACTGGAGTCATGTAGATTCTCGTTCTGACGGCACCCATTCATTGCACAGGATTCATTAGTGAGCAATTGATATCATACTAAATTTCTCCAAATCTGTTTCAATAAAGACACAAACTCATCTACACCATGGATTGCCTGAGAGTGAGTACATTTCCTGAACTATTCCTTTAACGAGCTAAGCAAAATAATAATAAAATTAAAAGTAGTTTTACAAAATGATTATAGGAATGAATGTATCCACTCACATCCTGCTTTTCCATCTCAACCACAGTTTCATTACTGTCATAAAACCCAAAAATACTGTGGGGGAAAAAAGAGATAAACTGTAAAAAAGATATGAAATGACTGAGTATGTTTTATTCAGGGCCTGAGTTTTAGAGATTGCAAACATGCTCTAAAAATCCGCCACATAATCCTATAAGGCCTTTTGAAGTTCAAATGTCACTCTACATATTTCTCATATTCATTCCAGTCTGCTAAACACCACATTAACCCTTTACCAGCATGTAAGACTTTGATGATTTCTAACTCTGACAAACTTTAGATGCTCAATATCACGTGATGAAATATTTGCAGAGACCTTGACTCCCATGGTGTAATAACGCCGTCATCTTGTCCACCGATCAGCACCAGCGTCTGTATGCGCAGGAAGCTGTCTCGCCACGCTGCAAGGGAACAGCAACATACAACACAACTCAAGGCCACGGAATTGAAAGTGCACAAACAACCCAAGCAAAAGCTGAGGCATCTGAGCAGCACATAAACACAGGTTAGCAAAAGCCATGTCGTCTGAAATTACCTGTTGAATTGGCATGCTCTATCTCGCCATTCAGTAGGGCGAGATAGATGCTGCTGTTTAAGTATCTCTCTCTTTGGTGTGGATCTACAGAGGGAATAAAAAGACAGAGAAGGATGTGCTGTGAATCAAATGAAATACAGAACATTGATTTGTGACACATCCACTTACCATTCCAGTAGTTGCAGATAGATATCCTTTGTCCACATGTAGTGTAACAAAAATGGTACAGTCTTGACTTGATAAATGTAGGGAAAAAATATTTCAAATAAGACGAATCTGTAAAAGCATGGACAAAACACTTACAAGCACTCCTTTAAAGAAAAGAGATGTTGTGGTGTGTGTAATGTAGGGAGGACAGGACTGACTGACCTCCATACTGGCCAGCTAGTGGTGAAGACAGTAATATCAGAGAGTGAGCATTGTGCGTCGGCAGGGTTGCAAGAACTCCTCGACATATCAATCCACCTTTGAAAATATGATATAAAAAACAGTGCCGTTCAAAAGTCTGGAGTCAGTATGATTTTTTTTCCCCCAAAAGAAATTCATATTTTTATTTAGAAAGGATGCATTAAGTAGATCAAAAATTCAGCTTTGCCATCACAGGAATAAATTACACTTTAAAATATATTAAAATAGATAATTGAAATTGAAATATTATTTCTGAATATTACTCTTTTCACTGTAATTTTGATCAAATAAATGCAGCTTCGGTGAGAATAAGAGACTTGTGTCAAAAACTAAAACTTTTGAATGGTGTATATGTAACAAATGTCTTATTAGATATGAGTTTAGATGACCTTGTGAGAAGCAGATGAGATGGACACCATCATCGGTGCTCTCCATGATGGGTCTGATGGCCTCTCTGAATCCATCTACCTGTTGCCACAGTGGCTTCATACTGCCAGTGTAGTCATAAAGGGCTAGTGTGGTCACATTGGTACCTGGATGAGACTAAAACACAGTGGAAAACAGAAGTTGGTGAGTTTCATCCTTGATAAAAAGGAGAACTATGTGCCAAATATAGTGAACTGTAAGATGGAACTGAAACAACTTAAAAATCGTATGCTATTCCAATTCGAAATTTGGTTGCTTAGAACTTAGACTGTGATTTATTTATTTTTAATGAGCTTTTTCTGCATTTTACAAAGTTTTTGACCCAAAACGTACTTATTTAAAAATGTAGGTTAAAACAAAAAAAATACAGAAAAAGCACCTTCTTAAATTCACAATATAATGTAAGATTTAAAATATAATGTAAAAATACAAATGGAAGTGCATTAGTTATTTTACTTATATTAAATGTAGGCCTAATAAAATTATGTTAAATAAATAAATAAGATGATCTTACCTGATTGATAAATTTAGCCAAAATCTCAAACTGTCTGGGTCCATCTAATATCCCGTGAACAATAATCACTGGTTTGTATCCCATGACAGAGGACAGCAGAAATACAGTCCATATAACAACACAGCCATCAGTCATCAATCCCCCCATAAAGGCACTCCGACAATATCTCTCAATAATCTATCAGTTGAAAACAAATATTTTTTCTTTAATCAAAATTATACTAGTAGCAACCAACGGTGGCAAGACGTTCTGCCAAAAGATTGGATGCTCTATCGAGACATTTACATCTGGTAAGTTGTTCCGCATGTGCTGTTTTGTCACAGTTGAGGTGATGCTTATATCAACCACTTCCTCTCTCTCACCAGATGATGTGGTTTATTGAAGAAATGCAAGCATTTCATTTTACTTCAAGAGAATATTTCACATTGTTTACATATCATTTTCTTCTTGGATGCAAGTTATATCGGTGATACAAGAGTTTCTACAAAGACCTCAACAGTTTTTAACTTTCTGAGCACTACATCTATTAAAGCTACCCGTCACTGATTAGACTAAAATACATAGTTCTGAACATTCTTTACAAAATATACATAAGATTTTACCAAATATACATAAAATGTTTTAAGCACATTTTTTTATGAATTATGTCTTATTTAGGCATTATATTACGCATTCGTTTTAATATGAAATGCATGCGACACGTCCACCGGAAAATATAATGATTCATATTGTAAGCATAATGATACATCTGGTGCTCTTAACGCTTTAAATCTGGACTTGTATTTTGACAGGAATCACCCCTCCCCCCAAGTAAAGTATCTGCCAAGTCCCTTCATAGACATAATAAATATTATTTATATGTCTATGAGTCCCTTTACACACTCCTGCACAGTAGGTGGCGATATGCAATAATTAGAAGTTGCAAAAGCCAAGAAAGAAGAAGACAGGAATCATATATGTTCGTTTTGTGCTGCAAACGATTCAGAATTCAAATATCATGGTTCAGTGGAAACAGTTCTACACTAAAATATGTAAACGTTACAGTCTTTTGTCTCCAAGCATTGGTGCATGAAATAAAATCCAGCCAGTAACATTTATCTTAATATTTTTATCTAGTAGTCACAAATCATAATTTCGATTTGCGCTGAGAAATGTAACATGTACCACGTGACAACGCCGTCTGTTTCACTGACGATCTGGGCGATAATTTAATTTGCACAATATTTATTAAAATCCATTTTAGCAGAACAGTTAGAGACAACTACAAACCAGACCAATTTCATATCAATTACCTATGAACTCGCTTAGTTTGTGTCTATTGCTAGACCACGTCTGAACGTTTTACTCAGACTTTTATTTTGACAGGTCGCGCTCAGAAAGTAGTGACCCGGAAGTAGCGTTCATGTTTTCACAGGAGAAAGCGTGTGGAGAGACGCTACGCTAACGTAAGTCTGAAGTTTCCTCTGAAATATGATGCAGTTGTGTTTGTATTGTGTATGTGCATAAAACACATCTGACTGTACACGGTGCGGTTGATTTCATGGTGATAAATCTTCTAAGTACATCAATAAATTAAAATAATTAAGTGTCCGCGCTGTTAATTTCTATGTTCTGTATCGGAAAATAACACTGAGCTTCTACAGATTTTTTCTTGTACACATACGTTTCATTTTAAATATGATTTGACGGCTTATTTGAATCAAATTTCGAATTCGAGTTGGTCACGCACATTTGCGCTCATATTGCTGTGTTATCTGGTGATTCACTTTATATTATGAAAACTTTGTTGATACAGTCTTGTGTAAAACACTATGTGTTGTGTTCTTGTGCACAGTCACAATGGCTAATCTGGAACAGTGGGTTAGTGACCAGCTCCATGACATCCTGGGTTTGAGTGACCGATATGTGGCCCAGTTCATGATCGGTCTGGTGAAGAAGTCTTCTGGACCTCAGGACTTTGTGGCTCGGCTTCAGCAAACCGGAACCATTGATATTGATCAAAGAATCACAGCGTTTGCACATGAGCTGTACAACAAAGTACGTGTTTTCACTCAGTATGTTTAATGGAATTCATAAATTAAGATATACATTTACATATGACCTTCCATTTCAGGCTCCCAAAAAACATGTGGCAGAAAAACCTGCCCGGGCGGTGGAACGACAAGTCATGGAAATGGAGAGAAAGAACAGAACCTACACTCTTCTGGAGGACAGTGAGAGTGATGGAGAGATGGCCAGAGAAAGAGGAAAAGAGAAGAAAAGTAAAGACCGGGACAAAGGAAAGAAGAGAAAACACCTCAGACAGAAACGAGACGAAAGTCCATCGTCCAGTGAAGAGGACAGCAAAAAGAGGTCATTATGTTATTCTTTCAGTCTTTTAGATGCTGCGGACCCCCAAATATGGATATCCTCTTGCGGATGGACTCCCGTTCTAAAATTTTAAAGCTGTGTCTTGTATAAAGAATTTATACTGTAAAAAAAAAATTTATAAATATATTTAGTTTCTCTTACGTTACATTGATCATTTTTCCCTGTTAATTGTAGTACTGTACCGTTAGATGTAATTTATTTATTGTTTTGCTCATTTGTTTACTTATTTTAATCTATTTTGGATGTATTTAATTAAAATGATTTCTTTTATTCAGATTTTCATGATTTATTTATTTTTACATTTACGTTTCTTTTTCTTTTTTCTCTAAATATTTACACCAAACCCTAGCACTTCCTCGTGGCTCCCTGTGTGTCCCCGGACCCCAGTTAGAAAAAGCCCTGGGCTAATACAAAACATTTTCAATTATAAGGCTTTAAATTTGGCTCATTCAATCAGAAAGTGACAACTATCCATTTCATTATTGTGCTTTTGTTCTCAATGGTTTCTCTTGTTTGTTCTTTGACTCTTTCAGTACAAAAGTCATGGACGAGCCAAAAAAAGCTGCTAAAGAAGAGGAGGAGGAAGAATGGGAGCGGGAAGAGAGAGAGAGACTTCAAGATCTGGAGGAGAGGGATGCATTTGCTGAACGAGTGAAACAGAAGGACAAAGACAAGACGAGACACATACTTGAGAGAAATGACAAAAAGGTAATGCTAAACAAGATCTTGCTACAACAAAATCATGTCTACTAGTTTCTTATTGATGGATCTCAGCATGATCTAGGACATTATTAGGGCTAATGATGTGCTTTGTCTGTTTTCATCATCTCAGGCTTACGAGGAAGCTCAAAAAAAACTCAAAATGGCTGAGGAGGATCAAAAGAAAATGGTGAGGAAGTCTTAAATTGTACTTGCATGCACAAGGATGTTCTGTTGTTAATTGGAAATTTGATGATGTAAACATGTTGACCTGATTAATACAATATTCCAGTTTCTAGAAATCTGTATGAAGCAGCAGTGATATCTGTTAACATTCAGTGTGGTCTCTTCAGCTTCCAGAGTTAAGGAAACAGTCACGTTGGGAGTATCTGAGCAAAAGAGAGCAGGAGAAGATTGATGACCTCGAGGCTGAAATTAAGGACGAGGAATACCTCTTCTCCACTCAGAACCTCACAGATCGGGAAAAGAAAGATTTAGATTACAAGCGGAAGGTCAGAGACCTGGCCCAAGACTACAAGAAAGCTGGAGCGAAAGAAAAAGAGGAGAGAAAGAACAGATACTACATGCCAGAGGAGAAAAGAAACAAGGTAGGTCTAAGTGATGAGCTAGAGGGGGATTATGGGATAATGTTATACACTTTGACAGGACTGGGATATTTAAATCAGTTACCAGTACCTAATATCAAGGTTTCCATTTTTCATGTAATTAATACATTAATGCTTTTATTCATCAGGGATGCATTAAATTAAAAAAGTGACTCAAGACTTTTATAATGTTAAAAAAGGTTTCAAATAAATGCTAAAATAAAATAAAATTCCATTTTAAAATTTATTATAATAGAAAATAGTTATTTTAAATTGGAGTAATGTTTTACAATATTACTGTTTTTACTGTATTTTTGGTCAAATAAATGCAGCCTTGGTGAGAAACATAAGAAAAACATCTTATCAAACCCCTAACTTTGAGCAGTAGTGTATATCACACTAATGTTTGTTTTACTGGAAATTCATACAAATATTTTTTATTTTAAAGAACTATAATTTATTTGACATACTTTATTATTAAATATGTTATTGTTTTTCTCTTATCCTCTTTGTCCCCTCCTATCAGTCCATTCCTCAGAAAGACATGGACCTGGAGTTTGAAGAGACTCCCAGAGAGGGAGGTGGGGAGCAGGGCCGCTGGGAGGAGGCGAGAGTGGCCACTGCCACCCTGCAGTTCGGGGCCAGAGAAGAGCGGGAACGCCGGATAAAGGAGGAGCAGGAGAAATACCAGCTCATTTTAGAGGAAGAAGAGATGATCAACTTCGTCAGCACGGCCATTACTATGAAAGGATCACTGTCAGAAATGGTTAACATCACTGAATTATATTTTACACACATTATGTTTCCATGTCTTTAATACAAGAAGAATAACAATATTGTATCATCTTATTTTCTTCAGGAAAGTGAACCTGAGTTATCACAAGCTGAGAAGCAGAAGCAATCCCTCCAGGAAGTGAGACGCAGCCTTCCCATCTTTCCTTACAGAGAAGATCTTCTTGCTGCCATCAGAGACCACCAGATCTTGGTCATAGAGGGTGAAACCGGATCTGGCAAGACCACCCAGATCCCTCAGTATCTCCTGGAAGATGTACGTACTTGTAATAAAAAAATATTTAATGGCAGATAGTTTTAGGATTTTTGTGGATCCAATACTGGTTCATGTGCCTTTCTTCACTCAAGAATCTAAATTATCAGGAACATGCAGGGCCTCTTTTTTAAAGTTTGATGTGTGAGCATTAATAGTTCACATTAGCTATATTTCCATTACATTTACCATTTTTTTTGTGCTCAAAAAGTTGCATTTCTTGATTGTTTTGTCTTTTCCTTATCAGGGGTACACTAATGGAGGAATGAAGATTGGCTGTACTCAACCTCGAAGAGTGGCGGCCATGTCTGTAGCAGCCAGAGTCGCACAGGAAATGAGTGTCAAATTAGGAAATGAGGTCATAATCCATCTGCTTACTAAATGTGTGATTTTATATATGATTTGCCATTGTGTTTGTGTACATATGAGAAGTTAAAGTATTTGCATACCTGAACATTGTGGTTTTTCTCTGTTGCAGATTTGTAGTTTTTTGATCAGCTATGTTGTCATATTTTCCGC